AACAAGAATCACTAATTAAACAATTTAAACTAAACAATTACAATATATAAAAAAATAAGCTAAATTATTATTATTATTATTGATTTTTTTTTTTTGGACCGCACCAATTTTTTTTTAAAATATGAAAATAAAAACGAAATAATAAAAATAAATACATAAATAAATAAATAAATAAAAGAATAAATAAATTAAAAAATATATATATATATATATATTTTATTCTTTATTTTTTTTGAAGAAATATAAAGTAAGTAAAAATAAATAAATCAATAAATAAAAATTTGCAGGATTTTTTTTTCTTTTTTTTTTTGAAGAAATAAAGAATAAGTAAATAAAAATAAATAGATAAAAAATAATAATAAACAAAATCTACAGGTTTTTTTTCTCTCTCTATATTTTATTTTTTTAAGCCCAAGTACAACCCAAATTTTTTTTTTAATTTATTTATTTTAAATAAAAAACTCAATCACAATTCATATAAAAATTTAAACCATTTTTACCTTTAATGCACATCTGAAATAATACCAAAAAAAAAAATAGAGCAACGAAAACATCAAAATGCACAACAAATGTATAATCTTCACGCGAAAACCATGGGTACCATTCTCCCTAACTATGTTTATAACTTTCCCTGTTCTCCAATAGGGTGACAGACTAGGTTGATTCGGTATTCAGAATTGAGGCGCATAAAGCTAACTCGACCTATGGGATTGCTATACAGAGTTTAAGTCGAGATGGTCTTGAAGCAATCTCCACACCCCTGGGTATTTAAACCTGATTTTAATCTTAGAAATTCCAAACCTTTGCATTCTAGGCTTGGCCATTCGAACTCTAGCTTCCACCGTCTAAGTTGGTCTCCTAAGAACTCACTATAAACACAGTTAGATGGCCATACCAGACCGCCAGATGCCGTTCAGGTACAACAAACACAAAAGGAATTACACCTTTAGAGGATTTAAAGTCTCCTAGACTCAAAACAAGTACTATGGAAGATATATTGGGTCCGTCAAGTGGACGACCTCAATCATCTCCCCTTTCTCAATACCATCCACATAGTGTTTCAATCTTTGGCCATTGACCTTGAAGGTCGTACCATCTTGTGAATTTTTAATTTCAACCGCCCCATGTAGAAAGACTTCTATAAGCTCATATGGGCCATCCCACCGAGACCGAAGTTTACTCGGGAACAACCACAATTTAGCATTGAACAGCCACATTTTTTGATGAGGCTCGAAGAACTTATGAGAAATGTGTTTATCATGAAATGCCTTAGTCCTAGCCTTGTAAATTTTTGAGCTCTTATGCGCATCATTACGGAGCTCCTCTAACTCATTAAGTTGGAGTTTTCGGTGCTCACCGACTTTGGCCATATCAAAATTGAACTTCCTAATGACCCACAAAGCCTAGTGTTCTAACTCAATAGGGAGATGGCTCTGTTTCCCGAACACAATCCTATATGGAGACATCCCGATGAGTGTCTTATATGCAGTGCGATAGGCCCAAAGTGCATCAACCAACCTAGTGGACCAACCTTTTCTATCGAGCCTCACAGTTTTCTCGAGGATGTGTTTAACCTCCCTGTTAGAAACCTCTACTTGACCACTAGTCCGGGGATGATAAGGAGTGCCAACTTTGTGAGTGATCATGTATTTGCGCACCAATGCCTCAAAGAATCGATTGCAAAAATGTTTATCACCGTCACTAATTATGGCACGTGGGAACCCAAAACAACAGAAAATGGTCTCATGGAGTAATTTAACCACAACTTTGTCGTCATTCGTTCTGGTGGCCATTACATCCACCCACTTGGAGACATAGTCCACAATCACCAAAATGTATTCAAATCCAAAAGATGGTGGGAAAGGACCTATAAAGTCAATGCCCCAAACATCAAAAATCTCAACAATCAAAATAGGGTTCATCGGCATCATATCTCGCCATGACATAGAGACCATGCGTTGACAACGCTCACAAGCTCTACAGAAGTTATGGGCATCTTTGAAGATAGAGGGCCAATAGAACCCACATTGTAAAACCTTAGTGGCCGTTTTATGCACACTGAAATGGCTGCCATATGCATAAGAGTAAAAAATGTGAGAATGCAATGGGTTTCACTCTCAGGCATACAACATCGAATCACTTGATTCGGACAATACTTGAACAATTCCGGGCCTTCCTAGAAATAGTACTTGACTTGTGAGAAAAATCGGTATTTGTCTTAAGTAGACCACGTTTCAAAATTTGACCAACCGCCAAGTAATTCACTATGTGAGCAAACCACGAGAAGGTCACGTGTGATACCGCAAGAAGTTGCTCGTTAGGAAACGAGTTATGTAAGGCTAAGGGATCACTCGTGTGCTCAATAAAGATACGAGATAGATGATCTGCAACTACATTCTCTGATCTCTTCTTGTCCCGGATTTTTAGGTCAAACTCCTGAAAGAGTAGAATCCACCTAATCAACCTAGGTTTAGTTTCTTTTTTGGGCAATAAGTACCGCAAACGGCATGGTCTGTGAACACAATGACTTTAGACCCTAGGAGGTAGGACCGGAACTTATCAAGTGCAAACACAACAGCTAGTAACTCTTTCTCAGTGGTAGTGTAGTTTAATTGAGCATCAAAAAGAGTGCAACTAGCATAGGATATAACATGGGACACTTTATTCACCCTTTGGCCCAAGATGGTGCCGTGGGCATAATCAGATGCATCGCACATGATCTCGAAGGAAAGGGACCACTTAGGAGATTGCATGATAGGGGCAGTAGAATGGGCCACTCGCAGTATTTCAAACGCTTTAAGACATGCCTCATCAAAGACGAGAAGTGCGTCCTTAGTAAGTAAACTATACAAAAGACAGGATATTTTACTAAAATCTTTGATAAATCGATGGTAAAAACCTGCGTGCCTAGAAAAGACCTAACTTGACGCACAAAATTGAATGAAGAAAGGCCTACAATGAGGTCAACCTTAACTTCTTTAGGTGGCTCTTGGGTGTATTTGCTTGTGTAATTTGCTAGTCTTGGGTACTCTCATTATAAGAATTTTCACTTTTGGCGACTAAATTTTTAGTCGCCGAATGGTTTTAGCAAGGGGTGCAACTTGGGCGGGCTCAACCTGAGCAACCAGTGCCCAGCTCGAGTTTTTTTAGGGCTTGGGCAACAATATCTTGTAATTTGGATGGGCTTGGACAGATTTTTGATGCCCAAATTGTAATTCGGGCCGGGCCTAGGCAGAATCAATGACTAACCCGAGCAACCCAAGCCCGAATTACATTTAATATATTATATAAATTATATAATATATGTATAAATTAAATTAAATAGTTGTCTTTAATATTAAAGTGATCCCCAACTTTAGTCCCCATTCCACAAGGACCTAGTGATCCTGCACAAGGTCATAGATTCCTCAAGCATCCCATGATTGAGACACCAACCTGAGGGGGTTCATAGGCCTTATTCTTAACCTAGATTGGCATGGCAACATGGCACCCTTCTAATCATATCTTGCAATGGTTAGGCGAGGCAATGAGGTAGGCTAGCGAGTGGAGTTGAGTGATTCGAGTGGAGCTAGGTGTGCGAAACTAGTTTAGCAGAGCACTAAGCCAAGATTGAAATCATGCCTTATCATGTAAAGTGGTTGTTTGTTGCCTTGTGAATTTCGAACAATTCGGGCAATTTGGGCTAACCTGAGTTCAAATTATAAAGCTTGGTCCTGGGCTTGGGCAGCAATGCTCGAGTTCATGGTCGGGCTTGGGCAATACCAAACACAATTCGGGCTGGGCTTGGGCAAACCCCCAACCCAACCGAACCCGCCCGAGTTGCACCCCTAGTTTTGGCGACTAAATTATTTGTTCGCAAAAGTAGTCGCCAAAAAATTGTCGGTAAAGGTAATTAGCAACTAAAATTATTTTAGTCGCCAAATGTATACAATTCCCAACTAAAATTTTAGTCGCCAAAAGGTTGGACATTAAATTAAATTAGACCCTTTTCGGCAACCAAACTTTTAGTCGCCTAAAGTCCCACCTTTTTAGCTACTAAAATTTTAGTCGGCAAAGAGTTCTTTTTGGCCACTAAAAATTTAGTTGCCGAAAGTCCCCATCTTTGGCTACTAAATATTTAGTCGGCAAAGAGTTCCTCTTTTGGCTACTAAATATTTGGTCGCCTAAAATTCTACATTTTTGGCTACTAAAATTTTAGTTGGCAAAAGTGTTTTTATAATTTAGTTTTTTGTTTTTAACTACGAAATATTTTAGTCGCCAAATGTTTGATTTTCTTTTGGCTACTGAACTTTTAGTTGCCAAATGTCTTTTTTTTTTTTGCTACAAAAATTTTAGTCGCTAAATGTCTTTTTTTTTTTTTTTTGCTACAAAACTTTAAGTCTCTAAATATCTTTTTTTTTTCGCTATAAAACTTTTAGTCCCAATTTCTTTTTACCTACTAATTATTTAGTCGCCAAAAACATGATATTATGTTTTATCACGAAATTATAATTTCTCTACAACCTGTCTATATACAATGCAACCTATAATACGTAAATAAACAAAATGATACATACTATCAATCATTCCACAATCTGCATCCATATACCAAAAATAAATAATATTAAATATCAAAGTCCGTACAAATCAACTATTGTCCAAACTAAAATAATAATTCCATACAAAATATATCATACAAAAACCAAAGCCCTCCGTATACAAAAAATGCATTTACTACCAAGCGAAATTACTATTGGGCATGGTACAAATTACCGTCGTAATTTGTACCACAACAAAAGGTGATATATGTACCATGACAAAAGTTTTTTATGGACCATGACAAAACGTCCTATATGTACACCGACAAATGGTATATATGTACCACAACAGAAGGTGATCTATGTACCACGACAGTCATTATTTGTTGATTGCCAAAAGTTTTCTGTGTCGGTAATAATGAACTACACAAAAGCTGAGGATGACAAAAGTATTATATTAGTTCTACACAAAAGTGAAAATTCTTCTCCATACACCAATATGGATTATCCACAAGTCCACGCAACAAAGCCATCTACAAAGAAAAACAAAAAACGAAACATTAGAATTGGTTACAAAATATCAATTCAGTCAGCCATATGGAACATGTTCTAACATGCATCTAAGGCAGAACAATCAAGAAATGTCTTCTAGGAAATAAAAGAAAGTATATATATATATATATATACGTATCATGCAATATTTATTCCAACCAACACAAACAATGTAATATGTAATTTCTTCGTCCTATAAATATATAAAGGCAAATATTAGAATATGTAGATGTTATTTTAATAAAGTTGTTGCTTTTTGAACTAAGTGTTGTAATTTTGTTGACTAAGTGTAAGGCATATTTGGGGGCTGTTATGAATTTTCGCCCCCGGAAAGCACTTTTTCGAGTAAGTTTAGGGCGTATTCGGCTCTAACACCCAACCTATGGGTCTGAATTACGTTCCGCCAGATGTCACAAGTCCTATTTGTCATGGCGAAGCTATTCGTGTGAGCCACAAGGTCGTTCGGGGGCTGTTTTGAATTTTCGCCCCCGAAATGCCCTTTTTCGACTAAGTTTAGGGCGTATTCGGCTCTAACTCCCAACCTACGGGTCCGAATTACGTTCCGTCAGTTCTCAAAAGTCCAATTTGTCATGGTGAAACTATCCGTGTGAGCCACATGGTGGTTCGGGGGCTGTTTGAATTTTCACCCCCGAAACGTCCTTTTTTGATTAAGTTTTGGACGTATTCGGCTCTAACTCTCTATCTACGGGTCTGAATTACGTTCCGTCAGTTCTCACAAGTCCTATTTGTCATGGCGAAACTATCCGTGTGAGCCATAAGGTCGTTCGGGGGCTGTTTTGAATTTTCACCCCCGAAACGCCCTTTTTCGACTAAGTTTTGGGCCTATTCGGCTCTAACTCCCAACCTACGGGTCCGAATTACGTTCCGTCAGTTCTCACAAGTCCTATTTGTCATGGCGAAACTATCCGTGTGAGCCACACGGTGGTTCGGGGGCTATTTTGAATTTTCACCCCCGAAACGCCCTTTTTCGACTAAGTTTTGGATGTATTCGGCTCTAACTCTCTATCTACGGGTCCGAATTACATTCTGTTAGTTCTCACAAGTCCTATTTGTCATGAAGAAACTATCCGTGTGAGCCACATTGTCGTTCAGGGGCTGTTTTGAATTTTCGCCCTCAAAACGCCATTTTTTGACTAAATTTAGGGCGTATTCGGCTCTAACTCCCAACCTACAGGTCCAGATTACATTCCATTAGTTTTCACAAGTCCTATTTGTCATGGGGAAGCTATCCGTGATAGCCACACGGTCGTTCGGGGGCTGTTTTGAATTTTCGCCCACGAAACGTCCTTTTTCGACTAAGTTTTGGACGTATTTGGCTCTAACTCTCTACCTATGGGTCCGAATTACATTCTGTTAGTTCGCAAAAGTCCTATTTGCCATGGCGAAGCTATCCGTGTGAGCCACACAGTCGTTTGGGGGCTGTTTTGAATTTTCGCCCCCAAAACGCCCTTTTTCGACTAAGTTTAAGGTGCATTCGGCTCTAACTCCCAACCTACGGGTCCGAATTACGTTCCATCTGCTCTCTCAAGTCCTATTTTTCATGGGGGAACTGTCCGTGTGAGCCACACGGTCGTTCGGCGGCTGTTTTGAATTTTCACCCCCAAAATGCCCTTTTTCGACTAAGTTTAGGGCTTATTCGGCTCTAACTCCCAGCCTATGAGTCTGAATTACGTTAAGTCAGTTCTCACAAGTCCTATTTGTCGTAGCGAAGCTCTCTGTGTGAGCCACATGGTGATTCGGGGGCTGTTTTGAATTTTCACCCCCGAAATGCCTTTTTTCGACTAAATTTCGGACATATTCGGCTCTAACTCTCTACCTACGGGTCCGAATTACGTTCTATCAGTTCTCACAAGTCCTATTTGTCATGGTGAAACTATCCATATGAGCCATACGATCATTTGGGGGCTGTTTTAAATTTTCACCCCCGAAACGCCCTTTTTCAACTAAGTTTAGGGCGTATTCGGCTCTAACTCCCAACCTACGGGTCCAAATTACGTTCCGTCAGTTCTCACAAGTCCTATTTTTCATGACCAAACTATCCGTGTGAGCCACATGGTGGTTCGGGGGCTGTTTTGAATTTTTTCCCCTGAAACACCCTTTTTCGACTAAGTTTTGGACGTATTCAGCTCTAACTCTCTACCTACAGGTCCAAATTTCTTTCCTTTAGTTCTCACAAGTCCTATTTGTCATGACGAAGCTATCTGTGTGAGCCACACAGTCATTCGGGGGCTGTTTTGTATTTTCGCCCTCAAAATGCTCTTTTTCGACTAAGTTTATGGCGTACTCCGCTCTAACTCCCACCCTACGGGTCCGGATTACATTTTCTCAGTTCTCACAAGTCCTATTTGTAATGGCGAAGCTCTCCGTGAGAGCCACACAGTCGTTCAGGGGCTGTTTTGAATTTTCGCCCCTGAAGCGCCCTTTTTCGACTAAGTTTAGGGCGTATTCGGCTCTAACTCCCAACCTACAGGTCCGAATTATGTTCCGTCAGTTCTCACAAGTGCTATTTGTCATGGCGATGCTATCCGTGTGAGCCACATGGTGGTTCGGGGGCTGTTTTGAATTTTTTCCTCTGAAACGACTTTTTCGACTAAGTTTTGGACGTATTCGGCTCTAACTCTCTACCTATGGGTCCGAATTACGTTCCGTCAGTTCTCATCAGTCCTATTTGTCATGAGGAATCTGCTTGTGACATCCATAGAGTGGTTCGAGGGCAATTTTGCATTTTCGCCCCCAGAACGTCTTTTTTCAACTAAGTTTAAGGCATTTTCGACTCAAACTCCCAACCTATGTGTGCTAATTACATGTCATCTGTCCCTATGGGTTCTATTTTTCATGAGAAAGCTGCCCGTGACATCCATGGGGTGGTTCGGGGGCTGATTTGTATTTTTTTCCCCACGAATGCCTTTTTCCGACTAAGTTTAAGGCATTTTCGACAAAGTAAACCAGTTTTTTGGTTTGCTTTTGCTTTTTTTTTTCTTAGAACAACTAAAGAAATCTTGGTTTGATTAAATTCAAAGTTGTACAAAACTCTGTTTGTACTTTCAGAAGCTCAAAGTAAAAAAGTAAGCAAAATAAAATAGTAACTATTGTCTGAATTTTGAAAACAAAGCGGAGGAACGTGCCAACTTGAAGATTGTTTGCTATCTTGTTTTCTGTTTTTGTTTACTCTCAATTTCATATCATTCAGCATTTGCAAAAGGGACAATGCATTTTAGGAATTAAGATTAAACAAGAAGTTCAAAAGTACTAGAACTTCATATAAACAAATAGTCTTAAGGACATTATATAGCATGAAGATAAATTGGGCACAAACATTTTGATGAACAGCAATCAAGATAGTTTAAAGAGAGCTACACATCCGATCATCACGAGCAATTAGCTGAATAAGAATGATGTAATGAGAAGAGGAAGATATAATGATACATAGTACTTTAAGTTTACCAAAATTCAAATGCACTCCAAATTGTTATCAATTCATATGAAATCTTGCAAAAAAAGAAATGTGATGTAGAGATTAAACCAAACTCAATGACAAGTGCAACAAGAAGAAATAGAGTATTCCAAATTGTTCCACAAAATCCACATACAATCCAAATTGTAATTAAATATCAATTAATATGAAATCATGCAACAAGATAAATGGGATGCAGAGATAAAACCACCTGGGCTTTTTTTTTTAGTTGAATTTGAAGAAGTTTCAGATGCAGCAAATGCCTCTTCCTGTGTCACCCACCTGCCTGTTTCATTTCACGCAAGTAAATATTATATCATAAGAACATATAACCAAGAAGGATATTTTGGGAGGGGCAACAAAAAATGACTCAAAGTAAATCTACAAGAATAATCAAATATAAAACACATCACTACTTTTTAAATGCAATTGCTAGCTTAAGCGTTCAGAAACAAAATCATAATTGTGTATCCAAGTGAAATTTCAGAAATATTTCTTAATCATTATATTACATAGCTGTAGAATCTTATCATGATCATCATCCTCAGAAATAATATCATGATCATCATCCTCAGAAGGATGCCCAAAATGCTACACACCATCATCAATTGCTATCAACATTAATAAAGCTATTAAAAAAATCTAATATTGAATTGAAGATGTACGGGAAAGAAATAAACCTTCTCGTATAATTCTGTTGATCAAGTCTGCACTCCTCTGTACGTCGTCGCTTTATCACCTAAAAACACAAACGTGAGCTAGCCGGCGGGTGTATGCCGGAAACCTCTCCGATGCCTAAGTCAGCAAGCTTGACAAATAGATAAAAGCTCTGTGTATTCAGAAAGCAAAGTTGTGTCTTACCCCTCCAAAGGTGATGTTTGTGAGCTTTTATAGGTTTCGTGTGGCACAATCCTAGTAAGACTTCTACTCCTCCATGCAGAGTCCTCCTAGGATTCATACTCCTGAAAGATAATGCTTATCCTTCAACACCCCCCTCACTGCTTAAACCAAGTGAGATGGTTCTATCATGGCCGAACTCCAATATGACCGAAGTAAACATGACTATGCATAGCCGTAGGATAAGCCGAACTAGAGCTTTCTTTTACTACTCTTACGTCGGCTTCTCATGCACAACCCATGGCGTGGGTAGACCGAACTAATAAGTCGTGACCGGTGTAACTCCAAGACCGGTCTAACTCAAAGGTACCATTAGACCGATCTAACTCCGATCTTACGTCGGACCGGACTAGCTTCACAGCCTTAGGACCGGACTAACTTCAAAATATCCACACGACCGGAGTAACTTTACATGCCCTTTTTACTCGGCCCTTTGTACTGCGGCTCATAGCGGCCCATTTACCTAGCTCGGCCCAATTTTCACATAAATTACCCTCTCAATTGCCTCTTAATTCCATTTGCCTAGCATGTTTGGGATTATCTGTCAACCAGCCGAGCTATAAACTTTCAGCCTTTCCTACCGAGCTATAGATTTTTAGCCTATCCGGCCGGGCTACTTTCACACCGAGCTCCAGCTATCCGGTATTAACGTCTCTTCAATCACAGAGACTGAAACGCTTCCCATTCTAATGGCACGTGGCATGCAGTGATTGACTGAGGACGACTGTCACGCCGTTCTTCGTACTTCATGAAATTTGAACAGTCCCGCCTTTTTCCCTTTCGTCCTTTTCACAAAACAACCTCCTCATTTTCGAATTCACCACTGCATTTCTTATTTCCCTCATTCTCTCTTTCAAGCTTCATTGCTCTCCAACTTTTGCAACTGTGAAGTTTGCTTCGTGTTCCTCTTTTACTGCCGTTGCTTCCATTTCCAGGTCTTCTACTTCAATCTGGTAAGCAAATCCATCTTTCTTGCTCTGTTTGTTTTCGTATTTGTTCAATCCATATTTTGTTTTGTGTGCTTTTTGCAAACATGTTTTCTGTTTAGCCTTCGTCTTTTCTGCAAAACATGTAATAGAACCACTCAACTTCATGAAACCTGTAGAACATCACTTTTGATCCGTAACCGCAACATAACCGAACTAGAAAGTTGTTTGTGGCTGGTGCCTGCATAACCAGGCTACCCACCGGACTAACACTTCACACAAAACTAGTAGTTTCACCAAGTCAAACCACCTTCTGATTCACTTTAACCGAGATAAACGAACCGAATTAAGTTTGAACTAAGCAAACTGGAAACCTTTGCCTTCGACCGAGCTAAGTCTTCGGGGCTAAGCCAGCTTTCCTAGTTTTTAAACCGAACTAAGAAAGCTGCCCCTATAGGTTTACCGAGGTTAACAAAAACCCGTAGTTCAAACCGTATAAACCAATCCCACACACAAACCGATCTATCGAACCCCTTGCTCAATCCGAGTTATCAAGCACTTTGCTGAACTGAGATAACCCTTGTAGCATCCCTCATAGGCCGAAGTAGGATTTCTTTATCTTTACTTTGATTTGTAGCACAGCCCAATGATCTGTGCTTAACACCTTTGCTCTTCACTTTGCAGACTTAGGTTGCCCAGGCACTCCTCTGCGCGCTCAACCGAGCTACTGAGCACAATTTTTGGACCAAACTAATTTATTCATAAATTATACAATAAATGGAGAAGTATAGGTTTTTAGTAAATACTCCGGGCGGTCTAGCCGAATTCTGAAAAGATTACAATATACCCGACGACATCCACCTAATTTTAGCCGAAAAAGATGTCATACCCTGGGGGAACGAAGGCTTTGTCCCCTTTACCCTCTTGTCCATAATTGAAACCGGACTACGTTTTCCAGTCCAACCCTTAATTTGTGAGTTTCTTAGGCAAACTAGACTATGCCCAACCCAACTATCCACCAATTCATACTGTATAATAATGGGAATAGCCAAACTAAACCGCCAAGCCGGTCTCAACCTTGGTCTGGCCGAAATCTTTCACCAATACTCCATTAGTTCGAAGGAAGACGGCTGGGTGTACTATCTCAGAATACGCCGTCGTCGTGAGAAAATAATAAAAAACACACCGGATAAAGACTTAAATGACGACGATTTTTTCTGGGTGTCTAGGAATTTTGAGGATCACCAAGCCCAGATACCTGGCCGAAGCATCAATTGGAAAAAAGGAACACCTGGTATATTTACTTCGATTTTCTTGCGTGCTTTACAATATTTTGGTTTTTCAATCTTTCAGCCGAACTAACAGTTGTCTTCTTTTGCAGATTCTGCCCACCTCCATTCTCTATACAGCTACCCAAACCTAGCGACCTTGCACGCCGCACTACGGTATCCAGAACGTAGTTGGGCCAAGCTGCTAAAGTTCAAGCCGACCTATAGATATAGCCTTATTCAAGATACCAGGTGGGCACCGAAGCTGAAATTTCAGAACCGCCTTATTCAAGATACCGATTCGGTGGTCGCAGAGAAGGATCACTTGATGGCCTTCAATCTTGCCAAAAGTGTGTGCCTTCCAACAGACATAGAGCACCACCAGAATTTGACCGAGCTAAAGGCCATTCGATCGGCCACCAACTCCATGATCCTGGAATGATGCCCCTTGTTTCTTCAAAAAAAATTTCCCAACTTTCAGTTTGGTTTCCTTATTGATTTCTTTCCATTCATTTCAGTCTCTTCAGAAGAGCCAAATTGCCCACCAAAATGTATTGGAGCTCAGGAAAACGACGAGGCAGGCCTTGGCAGAAGTTGAAGCAAAAACGACCGAGCTGAAGGAATCTCACCAAAAATCGGCCGACCTAGAGGCTGAGGTAGCTCGTCTAACCGGACTAGTTACCTCGGCTGAAGCTGATAAGCAGAAGGCGTTGATCGTAATGAAAGACAAGTACCTTCGTGAGATGGTCAAGCTTGAAGGAAAGAAGGACGCCGAAATAGCCGATTTGAAGAAGAAGGTGGGAGATGCCAACGCCGAAGGTTTCAAGGAGGCGGAAGGCCTTTACATTCCACAATGTGAGGGAGCGAAAGATTTATTCTTCAAGTGCTAGCTCGGCTGTGGGCCCGAAACCGAGGTCTACAATGCTCCTCAGTATTTCATTCCGGCCTCACTAGCGGAGTATGCTGCTTCCGTCCAATAACAATTTTTGGAGGATTCAGATGATGAAGAAAACGAACAAACTGTTACTCCGGTAGTCAACGAGCAAGTCAACGATCAATCAGCTCGGTTGGAGGCAACGGTTGAAGACCTGACTGTTGAGCCGCCGCCGACTGACGTAGTTGCTTCTGAGTCTGTTCTTCCTTCTGCAACCGGTGCTCAAGTTGACATTGACGCCAACCTTGAAGACCTTTTCGCTTGATTTTTTACTTTCTTTTCTTTGTTTACTTTTTGCTCTTGTAACCGGGCTATGGCCCCCCCTTTGTAATTGCTTTTTGATGAATGAAAAATTCCTTTTTGTTTTGAACTCTTATTTCGATTTATCTGTATGTACTTGCAATGACTTTTCCATGATCTTTTCTCTTCCAACTGTTATCTCGGTTTAAATTCCTGTTTTGAGCTTGCTTTCTAATAGTAGTGTGGCCGAGATACTTTATTTCGGTCTCAGCTGAGCAATCTTACTGAGCTCCCTAGCCAACCACTCTTCAGCCGATGTCCTTACTTCGGCTAAAGAGTATTAAGAGTTGGTTTAATCCAGCCAACCACTCTTTAGCCGATGTCCTTACTTCGGCTAAAGAGTACTAAGAGTTGGTTTAATCCAGCCAAGCACTCTTTAGCCGATGTCCTTACTTCGGCTAAAGAGTACTAAGAGTTGGTTTAATCCAGCCAACCACTCTTTAGCCGATATCCTTACTTCGGCTAAAGAGTACTAAGAGTTGGTTTAATCCAGCCAACCACTCTTTAGCCGATGTCCTTACTTCGGCTAAAGAGTACTATGGGTTGGTTTAATCCAGCCAACCACTCTTTAGCCGATGTCCTTACTTCGACGAAAGAGTACTAAGGGTTGGTTTAATCCAGCCAACCTCTAAGTTACTTTTTCTAGTCAACTTAGAATAAAATGTTTGGTTTATGCCAACCAAACGTCCTGCAGCCTGGATCCTTATCCTGGGCTTAGGAGGGGTGTTGGTTTAATCCAGCCAACCTCTAAGTTAGTTTTTCCAGCCAACTTAGAATAAAATGTTTGGTTTATGCCGACCAAATGTCCTGCAGCCTGGATCCTTATCCTGGGCTTAGGAGGGGTGTTGGTTTAATCCAGCCAACCTCTAAGTTAGTTTTTCCAGCCAACTTAGAAGAAAATGTTTGGTTGTTCCGACCAAATGTCCTGCAGCCTGAATCCTTATCCTGGGCTTAGGGGAGG